ATCAGATCTCTCTATATCCCCTTGGATGCAGAGACTGCTCCTTGGTATTTACCTGAAGGCGTTGAAAACTTATGTATGCACAAAAACCTGCACCTGGATGTGTACAGCAGCTTTATTCATAATTGCCAAAACTTGGAAGCAGCAATGATGTCCTTCAGTAGTGAAAGAATAAGTAAACTGTGGTACATCCAGACAATGGATTATTACTCTATGCCAAAAACAAAATGAGCTGTCCATCCACAAAAAGACATGGAGGAACCTTAAATGCATATTGCTAAGTGAAAGCAATCTGAAAAGGCTACATACTATATGATTCCAAATACATGACATTCTGGAAAAGGCAAAACTATAGAGTAAAAAGATCAGTGATTGCCAAGGATTAGAGCAGAGGGAGAGATGAATGGGCAGTGCACAGAGGATTTTTAGGGCAGTGAATCTACTCTGCATGATACTATGGTGGTGGATACATGTCATTATACTCGTCCAGTTTCATAGAATATACAACCTGAAGAGTGAACCCTAATGTAAACTATCAACTTTGGGGGATAATGATGTGTTAATGTAGGTTTATCTGTTGTAACAAATGTAGCACTCTGGTGGGGGACGACGTGATAATGCATGACAGTACAAGGTGTCTTTGTACCTTCCTCTTAATTTTGCTGTGAACCTAAAACTGCTCTTAAAAAAAGTCTCTCTCTCTCTATATGTATATGTATAGCTGATTCACTTGGTTATAAATCAGAAACTAACACACCTAAAAAAGGAAAAAAAATCTATTTTAAAATGTCAAAAGCTATTGCTTTTGACCACTGCGTATATTTTACAAACTTTTTGGTGGCAAGGGTAGGAGAATGTGTTAGTGAAATAATCCATGGAAGGATATGTTTTTAGATAATGCAAGAAAGGAATGATGGAAGTGTAGTAGAGTTGCATTGGGTGGAAGAATTTTAGTACTTTGCTAATGTGAAAGAATATTTCTCATGTAAATATAAGAAAAGTGGTTAAAACTGCCGAGACACCTTTACGGGTTGGTTAACCACAGACAAACGGTAAACTGTTTTTTTTTCATACCCCAACTTCTCTCGTTTTCTACCTTCAGTTCCCTTCTTTCCTTTTTATTATTTTGCAAGCATATTATTTTGTTACCCTATATGAACGTTTTCAAATTTTCAACACTTTAATCCACTAGAAGGATAAGGTCATGGGCTGTAACATCTTTCTCCTGTATATTTTCCCCCTTTCCATCCCTTTTCTCTGCAGCCCCTGGTCCCTGCATCTTTCTTGCTCAAATCTTTTTGTCTCCCTACCCCCATTCTTTCTTTTGTTTTTGGAAAAGGATGGAGAGAGATGAGGGGAAGGGACAAGCAAATCCTGTGAGAGAATTAGGTCAAACTGGGATAGATTTTTTTTTTTTTTATCAAATCTTAGCACATTCAAAATATAGGACACCCTGATCAACAAAAGGAATAGAAAATATTCATGTATTAACATGTTTATTTCTTTACTTGAATCTGCTACCTACCGACTCCCCTTTTGTTAGCAAAAATAATGTAGGAAAATTTAAGGAAGACAGAAAAAACTGAAAAATGGATAAAAGGGTTTGTGTATTTATTGCATAAGATTTGCTCTCCCTCTTTTGGATTTTAAGTTTCTTGATATCCAGTGGACCTAGTTTCCTTTTGCTATGAATATATATAGCATTTAGCTCGTTCTGACTATAATTTCTTTGGACTAACTTCTCCAGAGCTATATGACTACATTTTGTGTTATCTTTTGTCATTGTAAGTTCTTTTGCTCTAAAAGATTATACAACAATTTTCTCCATTAGGTTCTTTTACTAAGCATTTAATCTATGTTATTCTTGTCTTGCCCAAAAGACAGCACCTCGAGGTCCTTGAGTCTGAAGTATACTTTTGCTACTTATGGTCTCTTTGTTTTTCCTGTTGGAAGCCTTTACTAGTTTTTGTCTGCATATTACATTGACCTGTCCTTCAGGGTACAGCTAATTTCCTCTATTAGGTTTTTAAAATTTCTCTAGTTACTTCCCAATCATGCACTACACAACTGCACATCTGTGGCTGGTTGAATAATGCCCCCTGCAAAGGTGTCCACTTTCAATTCCCCAGGATCTGTGAATGTTACCTTACATGGCAAAAGGAACTTTGCTAATGTGGTTAAATTAAGGACCATGAGATGGGGCAATTATCCTGGGTTATGCTGGTGAGCTCAGTGTAATCACAAGGGTCCTATGAGAAAGAGGCCAGGATAGGAGAGGAGATGATGCAACAATGGTAGTAGAGGGAGAAAAGGCAATGTGATGTGAGGCCGTGAGCCAAGTAATGCGGCTGCCCTCTAGAAGCTAAACAAGGCAAAGGCAGAGGATTCTTCCTCAGAGCCTCCAGAAGTAACTAGCCCTGCCGACACCTTGACTTTAGCCCACAGAGACTGATTTTGGACATTTGACCTCCAGAACTGTAAGGTAAGAAATTTGTGTAGTGTTAAGCAAGTCTGTGGTCATTTGTTACAGCAGCAATAGGAAACCAATATGACATCATTATGTATTTTATATTCTTCTAGGTCTCTTCCACAGAATTTAGTACTCTACTGTCATACTCTCTAATTCTACTATGTGTAATTGGTAGAATATAAATTCCTGGTGGACAGGAACAAGCATTTTTACCTTTTTTTTTTAAAATACCCTACAGTGCCTAGTCCCATCTTAGGTACTCAGCTATTTGAAGTGGGTTATAACTTTGGTGCATAAAAGAGAATGGCCACTACCAATGGGGAAATGAAAGGCATTTCAAAAGAAATATATAACTCAACAAACTGTGTTTACTTCCTTGGCATCGAATTCCAACCTTTTGATTTTGAGCTTTGTGTCACATGCAGTGCTAGGTGCACAGTATTTGATTAATGGAGGCTGGAATACAGAGTGCCCTCAACAAGCACTTGATACACTGAGCTGAAATCTGTGGGGGTAAAGAAGGAAAAGGAGAAAGAGAAAAGCAATGTGGGTCTGGCAGAAAGTCCTCCTTGTCTATTTGGCCGATTCATTTTTGTCACATTAAGTAAAGTTAAAATGCTTTACAAGAACATTCATTCTTTTAAATGTTCTTTTTTGCTTAACATTTTAATGTTCAATTAATTTCATCCATTAAATTTAAATAACCAGTATTTAAAAATCCAAGTAATATGCTTAATACTGTGCTAAGAGATAAAGAGGTTACAGACCACCTGTAGAACAAGGGTCTATTCCAGAAGGTCTTAGTATCTAGTTAGGAGATAATACTAACAATCAGCTAAGGTTACCAGGCATTTATCAGGTGCCATCTTGTGTGATTCAGACTTTAGAGATTATAGATATTTGGAATTTGGGGCTGGAAAATCAATACCTCATTCAGTAAATACTCATTGAGAACCTATTATGGTTTTCTGTGCATAAGAATTTCTGTTTGGAGTTTGCAATTTGATAGAGGAAGAGAAGTAACGAATACAAGAATGGATTAAGTGCTAAATAGCAGGAGGATGCTTCGTAGTTGGGAAAAGGTTATTACTTTCTGAGAGTTGAAAAGGGAGGCAGGATTGTGAATGATTTCAAAGTAAAGTTATTATTTAGGCCGAGCCTTGAAAGACGAGTAGGACTTTGAAAAGAATATAGACTATTCCAGGCATGAAAGGGCATAGTTTTCAAAGGATGTTTGAAGGGTAGTACATTATTTTCCTATTGAAGTAGTAACAAATAACCACAGACTTAAAGCAATATAAATTTGTGTGTTATCTTCGAGTTCTGTAGGTCAGAAGTGCAATATAGCTCTCACTGGGTTAAAATTGAGGTGTTGGCAGGGCTGAGTTCCATTCTAGAGGCTCTAGTGGTGAATCCATTTCCTTGTGTTTTCCAGCTTCTAGAGGTCACTGGTAACCCTCTTCCTCTATTTTCGAAGCCAGCAATGTTGCATTGCTCTAGTCATTCTTCGTAGTCACATCTCCCTCCTGACTCTTCTTGTGCCTCCCTTTTCCAGTTTGAAGGCCCTTGTGATTATGTTAGTCCCACTCAGTAACTCCGGGTAATCTATTTTACAGTCATGGGACTAGCAACCTTAATTATGCTTTTGCAGTGAAACAGCCTATTCACAGGTTCTGGGGGTGAAGTCTGTGGACATCTTTGGTGGGGGCATTATTCTGCTTACCACAGGTAGTGAGGAGCAGCTAATCTTGAGAGGAAAGAAGGCCAAAAGAGGAAGGGGTACGAATGCACTGATAAGGGCAGTGGGGAGCAGGTGCAAGTTTCTGAGGTTAGAGATAAATTCTCATTTTATTTGAAAACAGCTTTGCCTGCAACAGAAAAATTCGTTTGGACAGGCAATTTTGGGGTGCAACATTAGGAGGCCGCTATTTACAGTCTAAGAGGGTCTAAGGTAAGGAGGGCATAGCTGATCACTTTATTTGGTCTGAGGTTGCTTCTGCCCATTTCTAAGTGTTTTTCATCACAATTCATGACATCATCCCACAGGATTTCAGCAAGTGCAGTTTCCGGTTATTTGGCTGAATTTGTTCAGTAGATTGATGCTGCAACCCAGGCCTTAAACCGTTCACCTACAATCAACAAGAGGAGAGACGAATCCTGGCAGACCCCCAATTAGCAAGGCTGAAGAGAGCTAAACATTGAGTTTTTTATGGGTCCAAATCTCAGGGAAAGCACGCAGTCCTTCTACCTAAGGTGTTTCCTTAACAAGGACACAAAACTGAAAAGCTGCGCCTTCCTGTCACCGCCCCTTCCATCCCCCCACCACCATCGGAGGCAGGGACGTGAGCCCCGCCCCGCTGACTCTACTAACACCGACCGACCAGACTAGGATGTCCGCCCGGAACCCCCGAAGCGCGGTGGGTGGGTGGATGGAGGAGGCAAAAAGTGGGAGTGCGGACCCGCGGTCACGTGCCCCGAGCTGTTTTCCGCTTCCGTCACTTCCGGGTGCGACCGTCGCTTCTGTCCCGGTGGGCTCTGTACGCGTTCGGTGCTTCTTCACTGTACCTGACAGTCTGTACTACTGCCCCTTCCCTGTTCCCGACGGGAGGGAAATGAGTGTCCCTGGGCCGCCTTCCCTGGACGGGGTCCTGGCAGGGCCACCCGACGGCCTGGAGGCCGGGGGCCTGACGCCGGGTACGTGCTGTGGGGCGGGGCGGGGCGGCCGGGACCCGAGTGGGTGGGTCTCCGGGCCGCCCCGCGGGAATAAGATGCTTTCGGCAGCTGCAGCCCCGAGGCTCTGTCCCCAGTGCGGAACTAGGGAACCTTGCCGGCTCTCCTGGCCAGAGGAGGAGGCAGGAAACGAGGTCTGGGGGGAAGCGGTGTTTGGGGTGCTGTTGGTGGGGGTTGATGGTGAAGGCATTTCTGAGTTTGTGTGTTGACTCCGGCACACTGTTGGCTATTTGTTACACGCTAGTGGTTGAGGATGAATTTACCAGAAGGATGATTGGTTTGTAATTCAGAGAATTGATGTATCCAGTATTATTGCACACTCTCATGAAATGATTATCTTGCGTTTTGACCTTACTGCGTCCTTCTTGCAGCAGTCTTTCTCAACCCGAGTTCGAGGAGAGATTTAAACCCTAATGGCCTAGGGCATCTATTGAATGTAATGAATCGACTTGCTCTGCATCCATAATGATATTATGTTTGTACTGTCCTAGGGAGAATTGAGAAAATAGTCACTCAAAGCAGTTTCTGTGTTCTGCGGTTCAGATGAGGAACCCTAGGTGAGAAAGGCTTCAGGACTTTGGATGTACCTTTACTTGTACTTCCTGTTCCAGAAATATAGGGGTTACCCCAAAATAGCGCTCTCAGCCCGTTCTTGGTGGTGCTTTTCCTCAGTGACCTCCCTCTCTTCACACCTTCCTAAGTTGCTTCTGTAAATATCACTCCCTTGTATATAAGTGCAGGTTGGGTCTCTCTCAGCTTGCTCCTCCATCTGCTTGCTGGGTACTCTGACATGGTTATTTTGCACTAATCTCACACACAGCATGTACATAAATAAAAGTAGATGTCTGATCCTATTAATGGTGCCAAGTCACTATCACTTGAAACTTTGACATTACTCTTGACTCTTTCCTCCCACTTGCCTCCTACCTCTGTTTAGTCCAGGGGATTCTACTGTACAATTTCCATCTCCTCTTTGCATTTTCACCTTTACAACAACAGTTGTAAGGCTAGTCCACCTCCAGTCTCTTATTCTTCATTCCATCTATCCCACTGTCACGTCACTGCCCCAAGATAAAGCTCCCATCATGCCATTTCCTTGCTTGGAAGCCTTAAATGGTTCCTTACTAAATTAAGGGCCAAACACATTATCTTCGCATTCAAGGGTCCTCATAGGCTGGCCACATGGTCTTAGAGCTCACTACTGCTTATGTCTCACGCTCCAGACACCCCAAACTAACCTCCCTTTCCAGAGCCATCCTATATTCCCACCTTTCCTCATGCTGCTTCCTTTACCCATATTGCATCCCTTCCTCTCCTGCCTTAGAATTCTTACCCATTTGGAAATAGTAGCCCTCATAGGTTGCTGATGGAAGTGTAAATTGGTGACATCTCTTAGGAAAGCAGTTTTGCAATGTCTTTTTTTTAATATAAATTATTTTATTTACTTTTGGCTGCATTGGGTCTTCGTTGCTGCGCGCGGGCTTCTTCATTGCGGTGGCTTCTCTTGTTGCAAAGCACGGGCTCTAGGCACGCGGGCTTCAGTAGTTGTGGCACATGGGCTCAGTAGTTGTGGCTCACGGGCTCTAGAGTGCAGGCTCAGTAGCTGTGGCGCACGGGCTTAGTTGCTCCGTGGCATGTGGAATCCTCCCGGACCAGGGATGGAACCTGTGTCCCCTGCATTGGCAGGCAGGTTCTTAACCACTTCGCCACCAGGGAAGTCCCTGCAATGTCTATTAAAAAATGCATAAACACCTTGTTCCATTAATCTATTTATAAGAATTTATTCTATAGAAACAGTGATATGAATATGCAAAGACAAGCAAGGAAGCTCACTGCAACATTGTTTGGAAAAGCAAAAAGTGGAATAGGTGTCTTATTTTCTTTGTCTTAGTCTACTCGGGCTGCTATAATAAAATAACATAGGCTGGTGGCTTAAACAACAGACATTTATTCCTTGAAGTTGTGGAGGTTGTGAAGCCCAAGGTCTAGGTGTGGGCAAAATATGTTCCTTGTGAGGACCCTCTTCCGTTTCCACTGTGTCCTCACATGGTGGAAGGAGAGAGTTCTGGTCTCTCTTCCTCTTCTTTTAAGGTCAATAATCCCATCATGGGGACCCTACACTCAGACCTCATCTAAACTTATTTCCCAAAGACCCCCACCTCCAGATACCATTACATTCGAGGTTAGGGCTTCAACATATGAATTTTGGGGGAAGGACACATTTAGTTCATAACAATAGGGAACTGGTTAAACAAAATGTGGTAGAATTCTGTTAAAAAGAATGGAGTAGATTCATACATGTTGACCATATCTGAGATATATATTTATGAGAAAACTTGTAGAACAGTATAAGCAAGATTTCATTTGTGATAAAAACAGGGTTTAACCATGTGTATGCAAAGACAATTTCTTGAAGGCTATGTAAGAAACTCTAGAGTGACTCTCTGTGGAGTAAGGTAGTGAGGAGTATTTTTACTTCTCAGGTTATACCCCCTTCTTTTGTATTTTAAGTTTTTACAATGAGTAACACTTAAAAAGAAAAAAGAAAGGAATGAAAATTCTATCCATTCTTCAAGCTTCAGCTCAAATGCCCACACCTCCTTTAGGAATTATTCCCTGATATCTCTGGTGAAAGTGATCTTTCTCTAATCTATGGCACTTCTCACATTCTCTGATTCCCCTGTATTGAGCTTTTTCAGGGACGGGGACTTGCCTAATTTATTGTTGTAACCTCAAAAACGAGTACATAAAATGTATGTGCAGCAAATGTTTCTTGTCTCCCACAATAAATTACCTTGAACTTAGTGGATAAATGTGTGTAAAAACATGAGAAACTTCGACTCTTCCAATAATTTAACCAGAAGACTGGGGCAGGGTAAGGGGGTTGGTGTGTGTGAGTTAAAATGTATATATAGTTTAAGGAAGGTGTATTGGTTGTTATTCCTTAAAGGTGAAATATCCTTATTTGGTTGTTTCTGTTTATCTGTAATACTTATGTTTTCTATGTATATATATATATATATTTTTTTAATTTATTTATTTTTAAAATTTATTTTTGTCTGTGTCAGGTCTTCGTTGCTGTGTGTGGGCTTTCTCTAGTTGCGGTGAGCAGGGGCTACTGTTTGTTGCAGTGCATGGGCTTCTCATTGCGGTGGCTTTTCTTTGTTGCGGAGCATGGGCCCTAGGCGTGTGGGCTCAGTAGTTGTGGCTTGCAGGCTCCAGAGTGCAGGTTCAGTAGTTGTGGTGCCTGGGCTTAGTTGCTCCGCGGCATGTGGGATCTTCTCAGACCAGGGCTCGAACCCGTGTCCCCTACATTGGTGGATTCTTAACCACTGTGCCACCAGGGAAGCCCTTCTATATTTTTTAAAGAGAGTTGCTGCTGTTTGCACTGTTATTGTAATCAAGCCTTTAGCAATGACATTAATCATGATAATATAATATAATATATATAATATAACATTAATGATATATTTTATTCACTTCCCATCTGATGAAACATCAATGGCAATATCTGTAAATGCTTCACTTTTCCCATTACATTTTTATTTCACTTGTGGAGTGCTTCAGTTTCTAGTTAGCCCTTACTTGTTTGAATATTGCCTTGCAATCTAGAGAATTCCAAAGTTTGTTCATTTGTTTCTCAGGATCCAAATAAAAACCATACTAATTTATTTTGATCTCTAAAAGCTAATTTTGAATATGAAAGCATGTTGTTTTCCTCAGTCTTGCCAAAATTTAAATCTGTAGTAAAAACTATACTTGGAAATGAGCTATAAGCAATGTATTGTGATGAACGTATTTTGTATAATGATCTAATTTGATGTTATGGATTATTACCAGATTATGATTAAAGAGGTGTTTCAGAGTTTAATATTAGTTTAAAAATGCTTTTAGAGTACCATTTTAGTAATGTGGCCATTTCACTTTTTTAAAAAAAAATTCTAAACCAGTGATTCTAAAATCTTTCAACTCATTCATTGAACCCTGTTTAGAAATTGTTTTGTACTTTTCTCGGTAGGAGTAGTGATAGATGGGTATTCATGTTAGACATTTTTGAATGCCTGGTACAATGCTTACACTGTTATTATTCAAAGGAAAGGTAGGAATAAAATAGTTCCTGGCATCAAATCTAGATTTACACAGAAGACAATTATTATACACTATTTTCTATGGTAAATTAAGGTTCTGAATTTCAAGAGAGGAGAAATTCTTAGAAAATTTCTTTCCTGCTAACAAATGACAAAACAACCCTCCCTTTACATGTAAAGATCAAGCTCTATGCAAAATAAATGTTGACCCATATTACTTCCATAGAATTGAAAAAAAAATACTTTTAGGTATTGCATTTATTTAAAAAATTTTTTTAAGTTTTTTTTTTTTTTTTTTTTAATGTGGACCAGTTTTTTAAAGTCTGTATTGAATTTGTTACAATATTGCTTCTGTTTTACCTTTTGGTTTTTTGGCCGGGAGGCATGTGGGATCTTAGCTCCCTGACCAGGGATCAAAGCTGCACATCCTGCACTGGAGGGCGAAGTCTTAACCACTGGACTGCCAGGGAAGTCCCTGCATTTAAAAAATATATAATCTCTAGGGGCTTCCCTGGTGGTGCAGTGGTTACAAGTCTGCCTGACAATGCAGGGAACACGGGTTTGAGCCCTGGTCCGGGAAGATCCCACATGCTGCGGAGCAGCTAGGCCCATGTGCCACAGCTACTGAGCCTGTACTCTGGAGCCTACGAGCCACAATGACTGAAGCCCATGAGCCTGGAGCCCGTGCTCTACAGCGGGAGAGGCCGCCGCAGTGAGAGGCCTGTGCAACGCAACGAAGAGTAGCCCCCGCTTGCCACAACTAAATAAAGCCCACGCACAGCAACAAAGACTTAACATACCCAAAAATAAGTTAATTAATTAAAAAAATTCTGCAGGCTTTTGGAAAGAAGAATTTCTTGCTTCCATTCAGTAACTGTTCCTTCCTTTTAGGCCTCAGACTCCTTTAATAATTCATTGAAAACTCTAAATCCCCTTCCCTGAAAAATACATGCACATATGGAATTTTGCGTGTGTTAATGTTCTTTTCAGCTAGACTTTACCTTGTACTAGTAGCTTTAAAATATTTTTTGAGTGCTCATAACTTGATATTTAGAGGATGCTCAGGAAGTAAAAGTTAAAAAAAAAAAGGATACCTATAGTATCCTGTGTGTGTGCTCTGAACTCCACTGCCAGCCTCCTTTCCTCCCTCCCTGCTACTTTCTTACCCCTGTGTCAGTTTAAAAGCTTCCTAAATTTGATTTTTTGCTTGGGGACAGGTTTAAGTGACACTTCTCCAGATGAAGGGTTAATAGAGGACTTGACCATAGAAGACAAAGCTGTGGAGCAACTGGCAGAAGGCTTGCTTTCTCACTACTTGCCAGATCTGCAGAGATCAAAACAAGCTCTCCAGGAACTCACGTGAGCTGAAAAAAACCATAGATGCACTCATTTCTTCTCTGGCATACTCATAATTCACTGTATAAGTAAAGTATATACTGTATTAGGGATAATATTTTGTAACATTTAATACAATGGAGTATTTGTGTCTTTTGTGTTAGCAAATGGGAGTGGAGTAATCTAAATTACATAGTATACATGTAATTTAGATTACACAGTAATCTAAATGTAAAAAGTGAAATGAATGCTCCTAGAGTGTTTGGTCTCTTCTGAGAAGTACCCCTAAATCTTATCTAGACTCTTTGATTAGTTTTGGTGTCTCTCCACTATTTTAGGAAAGAATCGCCTCTTGGGGATGTTGCAAATGGGTATACACCTGTTTCTGAGTAGAGCTGCAGAATTGCCTCCGTAAGAGTCACATTTGTTTTCAATTGCTGGTTCACATGAGTTGCCAGAAATCCCTAATTATCTTTTTTGGAGATGACCCATTTCATTCTTAGTTTATAACTCTACTAGCTAAATAAAGGATTGGAGAATAAGAGAGGAACATGATAAGGAAGAATGGAATCCATAAAGTGTAATCAGTATGCAAAAATATACACTCTGATTTTATCAGCTGTCACCCAGAAACAGCTGCCTGAGCTGCTTCTTCCTCTTGGGTCAGGACCTCTCTGGATTGCCCAAGCTGGCCTATTATTTCTTTTTTGTGGTGGTCACCTTTAAACTGGCTATGAACCACTGCTGCTCTAAGACTTACTCTTTGAAAACTGATCTCAGAGGCCTTTATTAGGGCAAAAGGAGAGGAATAATCAACAACTATGTCCATTTTTTAAATATTAGTAACTAATGTTATAATCTTTGGGTTTGAAGATGATAAATGAATATAAAAGTGGTACTGTGTTCTACTACATGTGGTACCCTACTGTAGTTAAGGGAGCTGGTAACATTCTTAAGTTTTCTGCTAGTTCCAAGTAAGTTTATTTTTAGTCCCCAGTGTGTGGTATATCTTGTATTTTAACACCAGCCAGTCCTTGTGGCAGAAAAGTCAAAGATTTTGTGGATGAGTTTGGATGATATATGATAGACTGAAGGAAGGTAAGAAACTCTGCAAACAAAACATATCTGGTAACACTTTAGTTATTGGAAGTTAGGAATCAAGGTTTAATTGGAAAGTTTAATTGATGAGGACATTGGCTAAAATTTAGTGTTTCAATAACCCCATTTATCTTCCTAGGCATCTAGACAGTGATGATGATGATAGTAAAATCAGCTACTGTTTATAACAGTTGAATATGATGAATAAGCAGTTATTAAACTTCTTGAGTGTTAAGGAAAGATAAGCAAACTTCAGAGAAAGAACAAAGAGAAATATATGGGTCTAGTTAAGAGCTCTCTACACTGTCTCATTGATCAGTGTATCTGTTCTTTCACCAATATCCTGCTGTCTTGATTTCTGTAGTTTCTGTAAGTCTTGAAATTTGGTAATGTACGTCTTCCAACTTTGTTTTTCTTCAGTATGTCTTAGTTATTATAGGTCTTTGCCTTTCCATGTGAATTTTAGAGTCAGTTTGTTGATATCTACAAAATAACTTTCTGGGATTTAAATTGAGATTGTATTGAACCTATAGATCAAGTTGGGAAGAATTGATATCTTAGCACTATTGAGTTTTTTATTCCATGTACTCGGAATATCTCTTCATTACTTAGATATCTCTTATTTCTTTCATTAGAGTTTAATAGTTTTTGCATATAGATCCTATACATATTTTGTTAGGTTTACACCAGATTATTTCATCTGACAGGGGTTATTGTAAGTGGTATTTTTAAAAATTCTGATTGTTCATTGCTGGTATATAGGAAAGCAACTGACTTTTGTATATTAACCTTGTATCCTGAAACTTTGTTATATTCACATATTCGTTCCTGGGTTTTTGTTGTTGATTCTTTGGGATTTTCCACATAGGCAATCATGTTATCTGTGAACAAAGACAGTTTTATTTCTTCCTTTCTAATCTGTATACCTTTTATTTCCTTTTCTTGTCTTATTGCATTAGCTAGGACTTCCAGTAAAATGCTGAATAGGAGTCATAAGAGTGGACATCCTTTCCTTGCTCCAGATCTTTAGGAGGAAAGCATCTAGTTTCTTACCACAAGTGCAATATTAGCTGTATGGTTTTTTTAAAGATATTTTTTTTATCAAGTTGGGGAAGTTCCTCTCCCCTCCTAGTTTGATTAGAGTGTTTTTAATCATGAATGGTGTTGCACTTCGTCAAATGCTTTTTCTTCATCCGCTGATAAGACCATATGATTTTTCTTCTTTAACCAGTTAATGTGGGTTACATTGATTGACTTTCAAACGTTGAACCAGCTTTGCATACTTGGAGTAAATCCCACTTGGTTGTGGTGTATAATTCTTTTTATACCTTGTTGGATTTGATTTGTTGATATTTTGTTGAGGAGTTTTGCATCTATGTTCTTGAAAGATAATGATCTATAGTTTTCCTTTCTTGTAATGTCTTTTTAAAAAATATTTATTTATTTATTTATTTATTTATGGCTGCGTTGGGTCTTCGTTGATGCTCGTGGACTTTCTCTCCTTGCAGTGAGCAGGGGCTGCTCTTTGTTGTGGTGTGTGGGCTTCTCCTTGCAGTGGCTTTTCTTTGTGTGGAGCATGGGTTCTAGGTGCGCGGGCTTCAGTAGTTGTGGCTCGTGGGCTCTAGAGCGCAGGCTCAGTAGTTGTGGCGCATGGGCCCAGTTGCTCCTTGGCATGTGGGATCTTCCCAGACAAGGGCTCAAACCCGTGTCCCATGCATTGGCAGGTGGATTCTTAACCACTCTGCCACCAGGGAAGTCCCTCTTGTAATGTCTTTATCTGGTTTTGATTTTAGGATAATGCTGGCCTCATAGAATGAGTTAGGAAGTGCTCCCTTTACTTCTGTTTTCTGAAAGAGATTGTGGAGAATTGGTATAATTTCTTCCTTAAATGTTTGGTAGAAATCGTCATGAAGCCATCTGTTCCTGGTACTTTGATTTCTGGAAGGTTACTACTTATAGGCCTACTTAGATTATCTGTTTCTCCTTGTGTGAGTTTTGGTAGTTTGTGTCTTCCAAGGAGTTAGTCATTTCCATCTAAGTTATCAAATTGGTGAGCATAGAGCTACCTGTAGTATTCCTTTATTATCCTTTTAATGTCCATGGGATAAGTAGTGATGACCCCTCTTCCATAAATTATGTTAGTAATTTGTATCTCCTCTCTCTTTTTGTTAGTCTAGCTAGAAGTTTATCAGTTTTATCAATATTTTGGAAGAACCAACTTTTGGTTTTGTTTATTTTTTGTTTTCCAGTTGTAACAGTCTGTTTTTGCTGTCCTGCTTGTCTTGGATCATTGGCTTGCTGGGTTCTCCTCTCATCCATTCTGGTTACACCTTCTGTGGTCTCCAGTCAGAGCTGAAGGGACACTTACGACCTGTAGGATATGCCATACTCAGTGCTAGATGGTGGAGATGTTTTAACTGCCCTTCAGTCTCTTCATTGCTATTTCTTCTTTTCATTGTTGTTCTCTGTTTATCATACTTCTGCAAGCGCATCATGTCATATTTTTCTTTGTCTATAGTATTCTTTAAAATATTTAATTAAGTGACACCCCCTCCCCCCAGTGTCACTTATTCCTGTGATCCTAGCATTGGTTGATCTGGAGAAGAATATCAGAGAAGTTGGCTTCTCTTCCTCAATAGCAAGTTTTGAATCAGATTTTTTTGAGGAGTCTTAGAAATTAATTGGTCTGACCTTACTTTGTAAATGAAATTTAGGTCCAGAGAAACTAAATTTCCAAGATCACACCAACTGATTATTATCCTTTGATACTGCATTTTTTTCCAACTCTAATCTAAAAAGTCACTGCTCCTCTTCCTTTATGGTGATGTTACAATTTTAATATATATAAAACATCAAGTTTCTTGGGCAAGATAGTATAAAATAAACTTTTTTGGGGATAATACAGAGAGTTGTTAGGAATAAGTAATAAAATAATTTTAAATGGTTTGATGTTATTCAAATCTGAAATTGAGGCAAGAATAAAAGACGTATTTAATTATTAGAATATTGGAATATTATTTTGGCTTTGGAGTATTATTTTGAAAAAGATTATGATAAACTACATAAGCCTTGGAGAGTCAATAAATTTCCAACTTAATTTCTACTTTTAACATTAACCAAGATGAATGTGGTTGCTTTTAATGAACCATCACTTAAAGTATGTAAAGTTTATTTTGGTTGTGTGCTTTTGTTTCAGACAGAACCAAGTTGTATTATTAGACACACTGGAACAAGAGATTTCAAAATTTAAAGAATGTCATTCTATGTTGGATATTAATGCTTTGGTAAGTATGATTTAGTTGACATAGCTTAATGACACCTTGTTTTAGAAATAGCTAGGTTTATCCTCCCAACTTTGTACTTATGTATGTTTGAGATACTTATGTATGTTTTCCTCTAATTTTTAAAGTTTAGAATTTGTTGTTTAACAGGAAACCTTGATTTACTTTATTAGACCTTCTGTTGTCTTGAATTGTTAGCTTTCAAATGTTGAACTTGTGATAGGAAATTGAACTTATATATGAAAGTCTGGAATAGATCTGCTCATAATTAAAGACTAATAAAAGAGAAGTAAAAGTAAGGAACTTTGGAGGTACTATTTTTCCCCTTAAGGAAAGCACATCTCTCTTTATCAAGTACATGGTTTTTTAAATTAGCATTTATTTAATTGTATGGCATTTTCATAATGCCGTAACAAATTAATGCTGAACAGACTGTTTGAGAGTCCTTTACGTCCCCTTTATATCTTTCAATATAAGTGACAGTAGTTGAATTTCATCAGAAACTTTATAGCTTTTTGATGAGAGGAACTAATACTCTTTATTTTAGGAAATGGAGAATTAACAGAAATAAGGAACTTGTGGCTACCTTTCTCTTTACCCGGAACATTAGAAATAGCTTAGTTTGCATGATTTTGTGGACTTTCATATATACGTCAAAGAATGGACTTTTCATTGGAAAAATGTGGGTTTTCCTTTTATAACAATCAAAAACCAAGTCCACCTTCTCTAGTATTAGGCAGAGGCCTGTGGTAGTAAATACAAAGTCTTCTACTCAGTAGTTCTTGATTTGTGAAGGAGGTGGTCTTTGTCTTCTCCATTGAGTTCATGTTGCAGCAGAACTACATATTTGTTGAATGAATGAACCAAGCATATGCAATACTGTCGCTTCCATCTGAAAGGGCAGAAACTAAGTCACAGAAACTAAGTCTTGCTCTTTTTCCTTTTCTCAGCCCATGAGTGGTGTTTTTTTTGTTGTTGTTGTTTGTTTTTTTAATTTTATTTTTTTATTTTTGACTGTGTTGGGTCTTTGTTCCTGTGCATGGTCTTTCTCTAGCTGCGGCAAGCTGGGGCTACTCTTCATTGTGGTGCACAGGCTTCTCATTGCAGTGGCTCCTCTTGTTGCGGAGCATGGGCTCTAGGCACACGGGCTTCACTAGTTGCAGCACTCAGGCTCAGTAGTGGTGGCTTGCGGGCTCTAGAGCACAAGTTCAATAGTTGTGGCTCATGGGCTTAGTTGCTCCACGGCATGTGGGATCTTCCCGGACCAGGGCTCGAACCCGTGTCCCCTGCATTGTCAGGCGGATTCTTAACCACTGTGCCACCAGGGAAGTTACCCAAGAGTGGTTTTGATTGTCATTCAGGAACTGAAAAATAGAAGCCCAGAGAGAGAGAAAGAGGGTCTGTAAGCTCTAGAGCTCATCAGACTCTGACTTTACTTGTAGCTACATTAAGGCTGCTAATCTCTCTACTGACACTTCTTTCCTTTTTTTTTTTTTTTTACCTGATCTTCTCTTTCTGTTACCTTCCTTCCTGAGAATGAGGTGTTTCTTTTTCCTTCTCTCCCATCTCTGGCTGAGATGGAAAGTCTATACTTATCACTCCTTGGGAAGAAAAGTGTCCTTACAGAGATTGTTCTCCTTGGTCTGACTTCAGAAGCCCAAAGAATATGATCAGACTTGTCCACAGCCTTCTCAGGGCTCTCTGGCCACAGCTTGGTTTTTCCTGATGGGCAGACACTTCACTTAAACTGTCCTGTGTACCCTGGCTCAGTCTCTCCCTTGTAAAGGCAGTAGAGAGTGTTTTACTTTTCTTAAATGAAACTGATAGCATTGTTGGATAGTCTTACTAAAATTTTAGAATTATATTGCATGGTTTGTTTTTTTTTTGAATTTTATTTCATTTACTTTTTTATACAGCAGGTTCTTATTAGTTATCTGTTTTATACATATCAGTGTATATATGTCAATCCCAATCTCCCAATTATATTGCATGTTTTTAAGGCAAAATGTTATCTGTACAGGATATAAATGTCTATTTTATGTTTAGTAACTTTTAATCAATCTGAACTGAATCAAGTATTCTCAAAAGCCTACTAGTGGTTTAAATTAAATTTGAATCTTGGAATTAAAATATGGAGATAATTAGATCTTCAAAAATTTTGACAAATTTAGGCAGAATGAACTGTAATTTAGGTATTGATTTATTTATCCATTTTGATATTTCAGTCTGTTTTAAACTGACTTTTAAATTTACTTTTCCATCTTAAGTTCACTGAAGCTAAACACTATCATGCCAAGTTGGTGAATATAAGAAAGGAGATGCTGATGCTTCATGAAAAGACATCAAAGTTAAAAGTGAGTTGAAAATTCTTTCACAGTCTTTATAGAAGTAGAGGTTTAATTGTCTGTTTTTCTTCAGTATTCATTTTCTGACTTCTTATATATTCATATACAATAGGATACTTAATTCATGGTACGTTGTTTTCTTTTAAAACACATTCTTATTAACCCCACTCTGGGCTTTTCTACTAACAGCTGGGCTGGTGGGCTCACATTCTCTGAATATGTCACTGTATTTCTCATTTAATAATAAGAGTTTTGAGTAACAGAATTTTTTTTATCAAGGAGACCTTCAGTTACCCAGAACATTTAAAAATTGTGAATCACTATATTGTACATCTGTAATTTATACTATACAGCAACTATACTTCAATAAAAAAAAGTTACCCTGAACAAATTTAAAAGTTAAACATGAAATTTATTATTATTTATTGATTACCTTAAATCAAAGCACTATTACTTAAAAATTTTTTTTAATTTTTTATTTTTAATTTAATATTTAAAGGTTACTTTCCAGTTACAGTTATTACAAAATATTGGCTATATTCCCCATGTTGTACAATACATCCTTGAGTCTGTCTTACACCCAGTAGTTTGAACCTCCCACTCCCCCACCCCTATATTGCACTCCCCCATAAACCACTAGTTTGTTCTCTAAAACCACTACCACTTTTAAATTAGGCCATAACCTATAAGCCTTTTGCTCTCTTGGTTTTTTAATTTTTTTGACTTAGAAAAGAGCACTTAAACTGCAGCAGAAGAGGCAAAAAGAAGAGTTGGAAAGGGAGCAGCAACGAGAGAAGGAATTTGAAAGAGAAAAGCAGTTAACTGCCAAACCAGCTAAAAGGATGTGAGAAGTTGGATGTTTGTGTTCTTCCTTCCCCTGTTCATGTTCTGGATTTAAGATGACCCAGTGTAGACTGAAGTTAAGGTAGTGCCTTATACCATTGTGTTATGTTTTGAAATCCTTTTCCCATGAGTGCTGTCTCTCTGTCTTCATTTCAGCCATTCAAGAAGCTTTTTTTCCTAAGTAGAAGACATAATATCACTTGGTTTGGATATTTTATATGTAATTTTTCAACTTTGTTTTGCTTTTTAAAAATTCATTATTTTGGCCTTAAGTCATTTATAAACTGGAAAATGGTTTGTTTTAATAGTCTAGACTATAAGTGGTTAAAAATTAGTATGAATTGTTTAGCTTCTTAATAAGTGTGGATTTAAAAGTTTCAGTTTCTTATTTTATGAAATGAATTGCCTTTCTGGCAATACAGCACTGGGTTTTGGCAGTTGCCTTTTCATTGTTTGGTTAAGAAGAATTGCCAGCTGTTTAATCTCATATGCCACTGGAAAAGAGGTGGTATAAGCCTTTGTGAAGAACATGATAGAAAAGTGTGTACACAGGAAATAGTAGCATCTTAGACATAGGATAGGTGAGCAAGATGCCATGTAGATTCCACTAACCATATACTATATCTGCTTCCTAGCCTTGTTGTTGCTGTTTTTTCCTTATGCTGCTTCTGGGTTCAAAGTAGATTATATCTATTCCTAAAGTTTGGCGGGGGTGATGTAGCTTTCACACACTCAAATGTGTTTAAATATTTATAATTCTTAGTAACAGTCATCACACACTGTGAGATACAGTTGTCAAGCTGATAAGATAATGAACCCAGCTTTCCAAGTGGAAAGTCTTACTGCTAGTTCTAGCTATCCTCTCATTTGCTGTGTGGTCTTAACATGTGGTTACTTTTTCTGTGCTTTTAAAAAAAATTCTTAAGGTAGAATGATACATACCAACTACCCATTTTATAGATAATGAAAAGAATGGTGGAAAATTAGTAAATAGCTTCTTCACAAAAGAGGCAGCATGATACCTTTAGTGTTTTCTAGATCCCCCTCCCCCAATATCACATGTAGAAATTTATTATGTGAGGGAAATATTATGACGTTTCATTGTTTTAAATTGAGAGTGTATTATTCACTGTTTTAGCACTATTTAATATCCATGATGTCCAATCTCTATTACATAGAGACTGTACAGATTAGATTACAGATTATGATTAGAATGTGTATCTTTTATAATCTGTGTTACATTTGGTAAGCTGGAATCTCTCACTACCTCTGATCACATATCAGGCTAACCAATGATGGAGAAGGCATTAGATTTACGTCGAGTGCTAAGAACTGGTCTGTTTAAAGGTTTAAAAAATTTGTTTGAAAACCTTTCCCTTCTTTAGTGAGTGAATTATTATCTCACAGTTCTCTTGGTTTTGACCTTATGTTTAAGAGTATAAATATATTTTATTTTTAAAGGCTATGTGTTGCCCTCAAACACTGGCTAGAACTCCTAGGGCAGGATCATTAGCACTGGCAGGACAGTGTCAACCTAAACTGCTGAATGTACTCATTGATAACCTGACAAAGGCTGTGCATTGTTTCTTAGAGTGATTTGTGGTGGCCAACTGCAATGATTGTTTAAAATGCTGGTTCCTGGACACCACTCTCAATCTATTGAAGCAAATCTGTTTGTTTTTCTCTTTTTTTCCTTTTTACAAAGTTTCCTCAAGTGATTCTGATGTACCTTATAAGTTGAGAACCGCTGGTCTAGTGATCTAGGTCAGAGGTTTCCACACTGGGCTGCATATTAGCACCTGAAAACTTTAAAAAAATATACTCTTGAAGATTTTTACTCATTAGTTCTTAGGTAGGGCCCATGCACATTTTAAAGAGCCCCCCAGATAAGTCCAATGCAAGGACCCACTGATCTAGACTTTCTAGTGATTTATATTTATAAGGAGTGAAATAGTTTGAAAGCTACCCAGTAACTCTTGGGATTACTCTTATTAAATAAATTCTTAAACTGCTGCTTTTGATATAAAGTCAGATTTAAGACTGAAATAAATAGCAGGCCGGAAATAAGTATAGAATTCTGGTTAATTGAACTTTTGTGACCTGTATTTAAATGAAACATGTTTATTGAATGAATGGCAAGGCACATGTACTTTTAGAAATGTATTACTTACATTTTGAAGATTTTTTAAAATGTCAAGAATATATATTAGGATCCACTATTTTTAGGTCAATTGTAAATCAGAAGTACTGTTACTTTGGTAATTAAAATCTAAAACTTTAGCTGTATCTCAGTAGCGTACAAACATATCTTACTGACTAAAACTGAACAGAACCCTTATAATTAGTCTTGCTGTAGTTTTGCACAAAATTATGAATTGGTACTTGAAAAAAATTGCCTGTGGTGTTTTGGTTGAAAAAAATTGCCTTTGTTTTGAAACTATATCATATATGTACTGAACTAAAGTGATGGGAGTTAATTTTGTATTTACTTTGTAGGAGGTATCATGTAAATATGCAGACGTTGAATGTAGTATGGATTGTGTCCGCAGTGAATTTTTGGGTGGATACAGTTTATAAATATGCCAATTATATACCCTCGTATACTTGTCTGATTTTGAGCTTGTAAAATGAGGACTCCTTTTTACACATTTAATAAAGAAAAGAAAGGTCTATGAATTATCCAGTGTCATTTATCAAGCACTGGTGTGCACACAGCACTGTACACTTCCCTTTATGTACTTTATTTCAGACATTCCTTTCCTTTGCTTTCCTCTCCTGTCATCTTCCTCTTAATGTTCTCTGTAGGCTGTGTCACAAAATGACTGGTCGGCTTATGAAATCCTTTTCGGAAAGGTGATAGAAAGTGTTATGAAAAGATTCTACCAGTAACCCAACTTCATAAAGTTCTTCACTATTTGAGAATAAGAATAATAGCTACTACTTTTGTTTTTTTTAATTTATTTTTATTTTATTTATTTTATTTTTGGCTGCGTTAGGTCTTTGTTACTACGCACGGACTTTGCTCTAGTTTGTGGCGAGCAGGGGCTACTCTTTGTTGCGGTGCTTGGGCTTCTCATGTTGCGGAAGCACGGGCTCTAGGCACGTAGGCTTCAGTAGTTGTGGTTCCTGGGCTCTAGAGCGCAGGCTCAGTAGCTGTGGCGCAAGGGCCCAGATGCTCTGCAGCATGTGGAATCTTCCCGGACCAGGGCTCGAACTTGTGTCCCCCGCATAGGCAGGCGGATTCTTACCCACTGTGCCACCAGGGAAGTCCGTAAAGCAATGATTCTTAATCATTAAACCTTCAGACCTCACTGTGCACATATTTTTAAAAGTTACTTAGTTTCTAGGCTTTCCTTTTGGATCAAGATAGTTCTTATTTTACATATTTGTTCAGATATTATGCTTGTACAGATGAATCAGATATTTAAGATTTGTTCTATTGATAGCTTATTCACACTGTTTTAGCTCTGCTTGCATGTATGAGGCCAGGTGCCATCTAGTCTTCAGGTTAACATTTGGGTGAAACTAGGTTTATTTTCAAAGCCATTAAGAGAGTGAAGGGGAGTAGTCAAGGGAGATGGTTCTAATGACTAGTTTAAAAAGCACTTAAAGCAGAAATTCCAAAAAATTACAGTGTGAAGGAAGGGCAGTCAAAGAGAAGATCGGTGAAATTTGGGGTGGGTTGGGGATGGTAATAGAGAAAGAGAAAAGGAAAGGCCAAGTCTGAGGTAGAAGGGAAAGGTGATGTGTCTTTTACGTACCTTTAATAAAGGAGGCTTATAGGCTTGTGAAGAATAATAAATTAATAATATCCACCTGTTTTAAGATGAGGTCGCCCCCTACTGTCACTTCATCGTAAACTGAAGAAAAGGTGGTAGCCTGCTGTCCATTCTGGTTTAGGTAATGTGTATTCCTAAAGTGCTTCAGGAGGCCTGCAGTGCTCAAATTTGGATAAGCGTGTGTGGGTGCTGCTCACTCCTATTCCAGGTTTGACTTTTATTAGGACTTTGGAAAAGAGAGTCAAAAAGTATATTGAGGGCTTCCCTGGTGGCGCAGTGGTTGAGAGTCCGCCTGCCGATGCAGGGGACACGGGTTCGTGCCCCGGTCCGGGAAGATCCCACATGCCGCGGAGCGGCTGGGCCCGTGAGCCATGGCCGCTGAGCCTGCGCGTCCGGAGCCTGTGCTCCGCAAGGGGAGAGGCCACAACAGTGAGAGGCCCGCATACCGCAAAAAAAAAAAAAAAAAAGTGTATTGAACACTTTGTGCAAGAGAATAAATACTAAGAAATAAAAACATACATGTATATAGACCCGAAGTTTCCTGGCCTCTGCTTTGATCATAAACCTTTAAATTTTAAAGTATATAGAACCTTCATAATGTAGTGGTTAGGACTGTAGACCTGAAGTCAGACTGCTGTGGTTTATATTCCTGCTTGATTTTTAGGGCCTAGGACTTGCTTAACCCCTGTGTACCTTTCAGTTTCCTAAACTGTAAAGTTGGGATAAGGGTTTCTGGCTTCATAAGGTTATGCGGTTTTATGATATCCATATAAAAGCCCGTAACAAAATAGGAAGAGCTCAAGAAATGTTGGGTGTTATATCATGGTACCTTGAAGCCACATATTCACATGTGGGGATGGTGCTTATTTTGCCCCTTTGTGCATGCCTGTTTTTGTTCACAGGATTTCCACTAGGATCCTTGGTTCTTCAGTGTCTTCCTGTTAGACACCTATTTGTTCTTTGCAACTCAAATGTCTCTTCCTTATGGTTTTTCAAACCACTTCCCAAAGAATTTTTTTCTTGTGTTCTGTAGTACTTAATACATTTGCCTTAGCATTTACAGTATTGTTATGTGTTCACATGTCTCTCAAGATCGAGGATATTTCTTAGTCATTTCTGTTGCATGGTGCAGTAGTGCCTGGCCTATAGTTATAATCAGGGTTCTCCAGAGAAACAGAATGAATCTGTGTGTGTGTGTGTGTGTGTGTGTGTGTGTGTGTGTGTGTGTGTGTGTGTGTGTGTGTATGTGTGTGTCTGTGTGTGTGGAGAGAGAGAGAGAGAGAGAGGGAGAGAGGTAGAGGTAGAGACAGAGATATTTATTTTAAGGAATTGGCTTATATGATCGTGAGAGCTGGCAATTGCAAAATCTGCAGGGCAGGCCAGCAGGCTGGGGACGCAGGGAAGAGTTGATGTTGCAGCTTGAGTTCAAAGGCAGTATGGAGGCAGAATTCCCTCTTTCTCAGGGGGAATTTTCTTAGTCTTTTTCTTAAGACTTTCAATTCATTGGTTGAGGTCCACTCACATTATGGAGGGTAATCTTAAAGTCTGCTGGTTTAAATGTTAGTCTCATCTAAAAAATGCCTTCACAGCAACATCCAGACTGATATTTGCCCAAATATCTAGGTACCACGGTCTAGCCAAGTTGTCACATAAAATTAGCCATCATGATTGAGACTGAATTGAATCTAGTAAGAGAAATAAACAGATATTAAAAATAGCTATAATAAAAATCTGGATTACATAAATGCCAAATAGGGACTATTAAAATAAAAAGATTAAGTTCCTGAAATTGAAACATGGCTTGGGAGTCTGTAATCCTTGGATAATCTGAGCCACTGCTTCCATCCCTGATTACATACTCAATTAGACTAAAAAAAAAAAAAATGATAGCCAGTCCCAAGATCTTGGGAGTAAAATGAGCTCAGAGATAATATGTGTACGGGACTGTAGAAAAATAGATGCTACATCAATTGTAGCTTTATACCTTCCATATTAATTAGGGGCTGTTCAGTTTTCTTAAAAATGGCTTCTAGGAAGAGGTGGGCAGTTTTAGAGCAGGCTCAACAGATGAGCACATCTTAAAATTAAAACCTGATGAAGCACAGAAGGGACAATGCTGCCATCTTGTGGTGCTCTGCTCCCCTACTCAACAAATTCTGTATTGTCTCAACTAGTTTGATGAAGTTTGGCCTAAGCGTTTTCAACTATAGTGTCTTTGCTAAGTCAGGGTTTTCTGTATGGTCTGAGTGAGATGTTTGAAAGTGATCTGTGAAACATCAGGTTTAAAACTACATTTTTCTAACTTTTTGAATCTTTTAGTTTGATGTTAGTCTTGACGGTCCCCCCACCCCACCCCCGGCCCTTCTCCAATTGTCTGTCATCATCCACCATGCTCAGAATACTGTTCTAAGAAAAACATTCCAGGCCAAAGATCTTGCTGTGGGCAAAGGTCTCAAGAGTTCTGTGCTTTTATTCACCTGACTGTCCCCATTGGGCCTTTGCTGATAGGATCTGGGGTTAACACCTGGCCCAAGGGCAGCCAACCCATGGGCTCAGTGGTGGAATAATTAGCCTGGCAGGAAAAACTCTGCCTAGGTGGGGACATAGAGTATCTAATTGGCCTAGTCGGTTACTGTCTTGGGAATATGTATTAGAATACTTGGAGAGAATCAGCGCTTTAGTAATTGAAGGAGAAATGAGAAGACACAGGGAAGCAGACAGAACAGCTGAGTATTATGTGGGGAGGAGTAAGGATCCATGAACTTCTACTTCTGAAGGGGGACAAGGTCATAGACCCCTCAGAATATCTTGGATCCCAAGCTATTTTCCTGTATAAGGTTCTGTGTGCTGGGCTTTTCTTAGGTCCCTATGGAATTTAATTACTGGGCTAAGATTCCTGTTTTCCACAGTACCACCCTCCCGTCCCCTACTTCCCTTATTTATGAGATAATCTTAACAATTCTTTATTTATTGCAACTTTAAGCATCTAGCATTGTCATTGTCTTTTAGTTTCCAGAGCATGTTATATC